TGTGTACAGTTTTTCCTACTTTTTTTTTCCAAAAATAGAATTTTCCCATCCCGTGTGAAGCATTGGTGTATTGTGTCATTATTCTCCCGCTTAAGTTTTCTGACTCTATACAGGCGTTCCAACGAGTACAAGCCAAGTGCTTCCAAGCGTTCCCAGTAGTTAAGGTGCTTGACAGAACTTATACGTGCAGTAAAGGATCTCTGTACACTCTCTAGATCTGTGATTTCACCTGCTTTGAATGGAGATGTTAATGCAACCCACACCAGTCAACTAACACCCAGGTGAACAGGAAAAAATGCCTGGAACTAGTGCTCATATTGGTGAATTTAAGGCCAGCAAAGGTTGGTTTGAGAGATTTAAGAATTATAGTGGCATACACAGTGTGATAAGGCATGGCGAAGCTGAAAAATTCCAACCCCAACAAGTGTTCAGTTGTGATGAAATAGGCCTGTTCTGGAAGAAAATGCCAAACAGGACCTACATTACTCAGGAGGAAAAGGCACTCTCAGGACACAAGCCTATGAAAGACAGGCTAACTTTCTTGCTTTGTTGTAATGCTAGTGGGGATTGCAAAATGAAGCTTTCACTCGTGTATCACTCTGAAAATCCCAGAGTGTTCAAGAAAAACAGTGTCTCATCACTCATCAATACTCTTCAATAAAGGTAAGTGTCATTTTAACATTTATTTATATAGTTATTGCGCATGTCTCATTTTTTTTTGTAGGGAAATGTATATTTCATGGAAAAAATTTTTTTTTTAATACTTTTGGCTGTCTGGAACAGATTAATATCGTTATCTGAAGGTCCACTCTACTACATTTAATCCATTCTAGACACCCAAAAATATTCACACAAAAAAAATTTTTTAGAGATTAATTATAGTTTTACATACACAAAACAGTGAGAACTAAATAAAATAAATACATGAACAGTTAAATCAGTATTCTATACCTTTATTGAAGACTGTTGTTGGTTTATGGAAGATGAGGAGGAGAGAGGGAGGAGAGTTTATTGTTTGGAAGGGGAATCACCCTCCATAAGGACTTCAGGTATCAAAGCCCTATCTGGGGTTACTACTCTTTTTTGTCTTTTAATGCAACAAGGACCAGCTTGAGTCACTGGACCTCTGTCACACAAAATATCTGTCCAGAGAGCTCTGTTTCTGATGCCTCTTTAAGATTTCCCTGAAGTGGGAGAAGGTTCTGTCCCTGAACCTGTTGCAGATGTAGCTTGTGTCAGCTTGGCCAGGGTGATATTTCTCAGCACAAGCTTTCACCCTAGACCACACTGCACAAATCTCCTTAATCTCTGAAGAAGGCACCTCCTTCACTCCTCCTTCCTCCTCCTCTGAAGCAATTTCCTGAGCTGTGGTCTGTTGCTGTTCCAGATGAAGCTCTTGCAGCTCTTCAGGGGTAAGCTCTTCCCTGTGGCCCTCCACCAACTCTTCCACATCTCACCCCTAACCTACACCCATGGTCCCCAAGCTACAATAGATCCACAACGGGAGAGGTCGACGGGTCGGGGCAGCCTCAAACCCTTCGAAATCCTTCTCTTGGACACATTCTGGCCACAATTTCCCAAGCAAGTTCAAAACCTGAAATCACTGCCTGCAAGCCTTCCCTATGAGGCTATCAATAAGAAATTGAAGTGATTCCTCCGAACTCTTAGGGGCAAGTCATGTCTGGGGTCATTCAAAGCACCTTTAAACTGCTTTTGGTAGAGTTTTTGAAGTTAGAAATGACCTGGATCCCATGGCTGTAGAGGAGGTGTTAGGAGGCAGAACTTCTGTTAAAATTACTCCATAGACAATTAGTCTACCAAGTCGGAGGGCAGGACATTGCTCACGGGCCCAAGTATCTAGGAGAAGGACTTAGACACAGCGAGATTCCACGTCCAAAAATCAGATTCCCCCCTTTGGGGGGGTACTTCAAAAGCCAAACCTTTTTTAAAATTGTTTTCCCCTTTGTTTAGAGGTTTTTGAATTTTAAAACCAGGGTT